CACAAAATTGTCTCCGGAGCAGCCAGCTGGTTGAGTCAACATCTCCCAGTTCACCTTGCAGCGGGACAGAATGCTGAAGCACGTGGACAAATACTTGGCCCAGTGGTAAAGAGCAAGTGCTGCGCGTTTGCAACTATGGCTGAGCTCGAACACACAAACTATTCGTCACAAAACAAAACAATTATGATTGAACAAAACCATATTCCAAAAGCAGGCCAATATTGGCGCTCAAACTGCAAGCAAAAACATTTTGATAATTGTAATTTTTGAATATAAAGACTTTTACTTTTCCCCACTTCTTGGTCTTGTCTACTTCTGGGTCCAAATACGGTTCCTCACGTGACATTTTTACCATAATTACTGTTTGTTTAACGGGTGTAAAATGGTTAATAAAGGTTTAAGAATGCCAACAGTTTAATTTTGCAACAGATTTATTAATTTGATGATACTTCCAATTGGAATTTCCTAAATTGCAATAAATCAGAGGTCATCCAGCATTTGGATAGTGTTAGACCTTAAAGATTCCGCTGTGGGTCACCCCCCAGCAACTGCGCTGTTAAATATCAACCATCCACACATCTTGTCCTCAATGAGGCTGTGGGATAACCAGACTATCTCAAATGACTGCGGGGCGAAGGGCGAGGTACACCCCAGACCAGTCACCAGCCTATCACAGGGCACACAGAGACAAACAACCACTCAGGTTCACACCTTTGGGCAATCAGGCGTCAATCTTCCCAAAAAGTTTCTAGTGTTGAGAATTGCTGTCAGGGCGCTTTCTGGCAAATCCAAGTAGAAGTCATAATAGATGCACACTCTGTCCATAACATCAGGCACACCTAATCTGAGGATTGTATTGAGATCCAATAAAACAAATATATCCACATTTTACTTGGAGTCAATTCTGCAGAGAGAGAATGTCACTGATGTTCTTTGTCAATGTTTGAAACATGATTCTTTAACCATGAGGGGAATGTACTTTTATGAGTGAGTTTGTCCTATTTAAGATTGGCCAAAAATGAAATTGCCCCCCTGACCTCGACCAACTGCAGGCGCTCTCTCGATATCCCAGCGGCAGTAAACTTGCCGAAGCTCGGTTCGTGCAAAGTGAAGCAGGTGTCCCAACACTTCGGCAGTAACAGGTGACAGTTTGAAAACATAAGATAACTTCACTTTACCTGCGAGATGTCATCGCAGTCTCTCCGAGTTTTCAGGAGTCTACAAACGTTGCTCTTGTCCCCGCGCAAGATTGTCTCTAAAGCAGCGGACAGTTTCAGCGAGCTCCGGCTATTTGGCTAACCGTCTCGTCAAGTTACACACAATACCAGTGTGGACCGTATGTTCCGGCTCTGACCTTCAGAACAAACTCTTAGCACCTGCGTGCTTGTAGAATGAGTACTGTACTCAACTTAAGCTAACGTTATTTCTAAAGCACTTAAAAAAGAAACTGCGGATTAAATAAATTACTTTGCATTCTAACGGTTGAACATTCAATATTAAAAGCACTACAAAAATGCTGCACTTATTTCTTATGTGTACTGTGGCCATCTGCACGAAACACTCATCATGACTACTGGAGTGAAACTTCCTGCTCTGACCTCCAAAACAAGAGCGCGGTTAATGTACTGCACACTGCACACATCTTAAATGTAGCATAGAAAAAACAAATAAAAGCGATACTTGTACAACGAGCAAAACAAATAGGAAAGGGACAGCCAAATCCATCGTAATTTTTAATTGAAACATCATTTGATGTCATCATGAGATGATGAATTTCGGGTGCTCGTTCACTTTAAAGTGGGGAGCTGTAAAATGGGTTAAACGGAGAAAAACAGGACTTACTAGGTTTTAGAGCAGATGCTATAAGGTGAAAATTGATGAATTGGTGAATTGATTTGGATGGGGATTCAATATGTTTAATATTATTACACATTAATATTCATTTATTTATCTCTATTTTTTACAGTCCTGAGGTTTTACTTGTTTTTAGTTCTCGCAGCCAGTAACCAGTATGGCTATGGTTGCACACCTCAGCCCTAAATTATCTTTGACTCATACCGTGCTGTATCCCTCGCTAACCTGCTAACCAATTTAAACATTCAAGTTCATAGCCGAACTTAAATCAATTAGAAATTATAAAATCAATTTGATGCTTCTTATGAGTCTTGAGTGATAGAGTCTTTCTGCAGTATGGCTTACAAATAGTGGTCGGTTGCAAGCCGCTTAATCAGGGGTGTCAAATGTACTTTTTGTCCTGGCCCACATCGTAGTTGTGGTTTCCAAAGGATTATTTTATGAGTGTCAACCCAAATAAATGTTTGATCATTGTATATTACGTATGGCTGGTGTCGGGCGCAATCCTTGTACCTCCAAAATCATCACTTTTCAGGAGACCCCAATATTCAGCCATTTGCATACCCTTGACAACGAGCTCAAGCCATTTTCAACATATTACGATAGAATTGTTATTTTATAAAACAATGTAAAGAGAACACTTCCATGCGGACTGAACGATAGTATAGAATTGTGAAAAATTTGCTATTTATTAAATTGTGACATAGGAGGTTTGGGCAAGACGCCAGCAATATACTCATCAAAGTGATGAAGAACTAGTTTTGGAATCAGTTTTGTTCAAATATTATTACATTTATTTTAAAAGAGGGAATAGTAAAAAAAATATTTATATATACAATATCTCAACATTTTTAAAGTAAAGACAATTGCAATTTTAGTATTTTAGCCAATTTTGTATTTTTGCCAAAAATAGTTGATACAAATAATTTGCTTTCGTAGATCACAATAAAATGATGTGGCAGGCAGGAATTGGCCCCCGGGCCTTGAGTTTGGCACCATGTGCTCCAAACTTTACTGTATTTTATCCAATGGCCAACCAGTTGACTGTTCAAACTGTAAACGGACAATGAAGCAAATACAGTATTCCGCACTACCATTTTGAATTCTCCTCTTGTAGCCTGTTGACCGTTAAACCAATAAGGACATGTAAATTAATTTTGCTCTCTGCTGTCAAAATGTCAATTGGTTTCAAGAGAAAAGATGCTGCTTGCACCTCTCTGTTCTGGAGGATGGCGCGTGCGTACACGGGCGGCATTGACGTCAACAGGCCTATCACTCCAGATTAATCTACTGGGGGATGGACAGGCTTATGCAATTGTCTGCGAGCCCAAAGGCATCACAACTATGGATTTATTTGCCCCCCCGCAGCTTGACCCCGTGTCCAGCCACAACCCACACACACACACACACACACACACACACACACACACACACACACACACACACACACACACACACACACAAGCGCTGACAGAACGGAGAGATGGAACATCTCTTCTCCTTGGAATTTTTCCTCAGCCCAATGCAATGTGCTCCGGGCTGAAATGATCCGCTCCGACTGAGTATTTATTGTTTACGTCTGGCGAGCAGTTAAAAATGATGCTGGCACACAATGGGATGACTTTACTGTCTGATCGATATGTGATGGAAATGGATGTGGAAGGAGAATAGCGCGAGCTGCGTATTTGCTCTCTAACACTAAATGTGATGGATGCAAAGTCATCAACCTTGCGTCCGGGGATTCAAATCCATATCGCAGGTCTCATGTTCGTTTCAAGAGGATGTGTTGCACCTGCGTAGGCAAATATTGCACAAGATAATGGTGCATGTGTGTGTGTGTGTGTGTGTGTGTTTGATGATAATCTACTTGAAGAATCCAGCCATTGAAACAGCTGACAGTCTGTGGTGAATCGAGTTCCTTATCTTCACTTTTAAGCTCACATTCAATCTATTTCCCTTTTTGTTGACATTCCCGTTTTCTAAAGGTTTCAGAGCAGAAACTTTGTAAATAATCAAAAACACTGCCTGGATAACGAAACTAATACCTGCAATTTGAAAGAAATGTTCACCCGAGGACAGTACACAAAAAACTTTGTTAGTCACAAAAATAAATACAATGTACAAAAGAAAAAAAAACACATTACAAATGGACAGTTGCCAAGTGGTTTTATAAGTTGCATGCTTTTTCAAAAAGGTCAGTTTGGAAAAATTTCAGGATCATTTTAAGGTAAAATTATTAACCTGAACAGAAACGTGTGTCCCAAATGACTAACGGGTTGGCTTATGAGCATTCAAGGCTAAGTTGATTTAGCAACCTGTTCCTTAATTGTGGGAGCTAACACTACAATCGCCAAAGACAGAGGTGTCAAACTCAAGGCCCGGGGGCCAGATCCGGCCCGCAACCTCATTTTAGTGGCCCGCTGAAAGAAAATCAAGTGTGTCAACTTGCATGATCCTTGCCAAAAAAATGTACCGACATGTCAACTTGTCATCTGTAATAAATTACGTTGAGATTTTGCAAAAATTTTGTTACCCTTACAAGTAATAATGCGATAATGCGATATAATAAAATAAAGCAGGCAAATCTTTAACCTACACTGGCACGTGACCTCCGTCACCGGAAATTGTTAGCGCTCAGCAGTCTGCAATTGCAGCTTGTGATCAGAGCTGTTGCGCTATATCTTTTATTGTTATCATTATTCTCATTCAGAGTTTGTTTCGTGTACAATTCACCGAGGGCACGGGCAAAGAATAGGAATCTAGAGGGCCGAGGGAAGCACTTTTAAACGGTACGTGTGAGCTATGATACTTAACAGGCTGCAAAAGTCTCATCATGGTGTGCATGTGTCTGTGCGTGCTCGTGTGCGGTAACAGGTCGATCGCAGGAGGTTGGTTGATCAAAAAGTTGATCTTCGGTCCAAAAAGTTTGGGCAGCCCTGCTCTAAATTGTCCCTAGGTGTGATTGTGAGCACAAATGGTTGTTTGTCTATGTGTGCCCTGCGATTGGCTGGCGACCAGTTCAGCGTGTAGCCAGCCTGCTGCCCAAAGACAGCTGGGATAGGCTCCAGCACCCCCCGCGACCCTTGTGACGATAAAGCGGATCGAAATGTGGATGATGGATTGAACAATGACAAGAACAAAGTCCATTTTGGTTGACATTTTATTTCATGATGGTAGGAACACAAGACAAAGGTCATAAAGTTAGTCATGTTCAGGTCATACCACTTTTACTTGGTGCACTGCCCTTTGACGAGGTTGGTGATCAGACAGTAGTTTACATCCACTTTGAGATATAAATAAGAAACAGAAGAGAGGAACTCATCATTCCTCCAACATTTTTTCTTTTTTATTTTCCTATGACTATCTGTCATTATTATTACTATTATACGGGAATGGGGCTTATCAATTGGCTAAAATAAGGACGACGCTTAGAGTCAAGGTGACTGGTGGCTTTAAAGGCAATTCCAAGTTGGCATTAAATCATGTGGCTTTATTGTTTGGAGTCACATACAAATATCCATATATTCTTAAGTGTCGCCATCTGAATTGGTCAAATCCAAAGAACAGCATGGCTAAAAAAAAAAAAAAAAAAAAAAAAAAAAAGATATGAAGAGAGCGAATGCTGGAATTGAAATGCGTCTTGATACACCAGAAGAGAGTTTCCTGATTTCACCTGATATTATGCATGACAGTTATATAATAGCTTTCGTGACATCCCTCCCCCGTGTACATTTATCAAAGTGTGGTAGAAGAGACATGGCTCCAGTGTATATTCCGAAAAAAAAAAAAATTAAAAATAAACATAAACCTCCACAGATAACACATTTTGCTCAATTTACACTTAAAACGGGTGGGCTGTACATAAAAATGGATGCCAGATCTTTTCTGAGTGGAAACATTGTCAAGAATGTAAACGAACAAGAGCGTTTGCTACTCAACCACCAAACAGGTCTGTATGATTTTGTTCTAGAATATATATTGCCAAAGATCTCATATCAAAAGAAGATTTCAGTCATCACAGCTTATTGTAGTTCAGCAACTCCTCATTGCATCACTGACTGTTGACGAACCCATGCGCTACGACAGTATGTGAGTTAGTTAACAAGGAATCATCATTGATTTGTGGCTGTTATGGCTTCAACAAGGGTCACAGTCTCTGTCAACAGCCCCATCCGATTCTTCCAGGAATGTGGAAGAGAAAAAAACGTAAATCAAGTCTTTTGTTGTTTGCTGACTGTTAACCAGGCAGGATAACGTCCCAAGATAATCGTCTCTTTTTCCTTGCATTGCTCCTTTTATCATCATTTTTTTTCTCGTGCGCCATTCAAGGTTCCTGTGCAACTCCCAGGAAAAGCTTTGGAAAGATACAGGAAGTGAGCCAATACTTTTGTTATTGTCATGAAAAAAAAAAAAACAGATTTTTTTTTTTTTTTTGCGTGTTAAGGACAGAAAAATCAACACTGCATACATACATCCATGCATTAATAGTGGTCAATATGAGTGATCATTTGTTGACAAAAAAAAAAAAATGCATCGTTCTCTCTGAGGAGAACCAACCTTACACATTCACAGTCTCTGGTATTATTTATAAACTATTTATTTATATGATGTTATTTCATGTCGTGATGGTGTTAGAGTCAGATGGGCTTCTGATCCGGCAAAAGATCAATTTAATTTGAAATTCATACATTTTTGGTGCTGTGAGCTGAAGATGGGAGTGAATGGCTGAATGTATTTATTTATTGTACTTTGTCACTGTAGCAGCTTGACTGATCTCAAAGAGACTCATTTGGGAAATGCAATGAGCTGGTAGGTGGTGAGGGAATGTGGTACTATATGATATGGATGCACATGGAATATATATTATTGAATGTAAAAATAATGTTCGGGGGAAACGAAAGTGGCAGATATGGCACCATGACAAGGCTTTAAGTAAAAATCAACACCAGAGTTCAAGTAATGAGCAAAATCAATAAGTAACCGTTTCTTGTTAACTTGGCGACAGATTTAACAGCAAAACGATTCCACAGGAAAAAAAAATGTGTTATATTGATTAAAAAAAAGGCAATGGACGTGAATGGAGGTGCAGAAGAAAAAAAAATATGAAAAAAAAATCTTCCCATATAAAAACCGATGAAAAGTTTACAAAAATAGAAAATAATTACAGCAGGAGACATGGGTGCTATGGAGGGAGTGGAAAGGGTGGGGAGGATTTCTTGAGTATTGACTGATTTGTTTCCTCATTTCTCTCAGTGTTTATTTTTATTTTTATTTTCTTTCGTGCCTGGCTGCTTATTTGGCCGCCGGACAGTGTAATATTTGGGGGCTGTTCAAGGCGTCCTCCACCAGGTGGAGCTCCACGCCGTCCACCACCACGTCCTTGATGCAGCCCACAAAGCCCGTGCTGTAGGCCTTGGGCAGCCGACGGGCCACGGCCACTTCTTCCAGACCGCCTGAGGGCAACAGCAGACAAGATGACAGGTCAGCCGTTGGAAATAGCAAACAAAAGATGTGATTAGTCTCTCTGTCAATACAAAAATAATAGCGGTGGTAATGTAACTGAGCACAAATAGTTTCACAGTCGAGTAAATTTGGGGTGTTTCATTTACAGATGTCTGCTGTTTGATTTTTCAAAGCAGGCTTGTTACTTCATTAAATCTGCGGTTGACTACACAACATGAAGAAAAACATAATGAGAGAAAGGTAAAAAGTCGACCCCTGTTGATATCTTAATCTTCCAGGAATGTGACGATACCACAAAATCAGAGAAGGAAGATATTCCAAATCCTTTTTTTGGTTGTCGTTCATAAAAATGATTCCTGGTAATTGTCTTTTGCCAGGCCAAACACTAGCAGCTTCTAGCATTCAAAAATTGTCAGTCAGTTGTTATCATAATTTTATGTATTTTTTTTTTTTTATAGTATGTTTGGTTCTGCTGATGCGCAGGGGCAACTAGAGGGTGGGTCTAACGGGTCGGTGGCCCCGGGCATTCATCAGCATCCCATTTGTGTGTTTACGATCATGTAGAAGGCTGGCATTAGGGGCCATCCATTTGGGAACACTCCCATCTACCACAACCATACAATGAGGGTTAAGGTTTCAAAGTCGGGGTTTAAACTAAGGTCATGGGTTAAAATTAAGGTTTCAAAGTAGGGTTAAGGTTACAAAGTATGTTTTAAACTATCGTTATGGTTTCAAATTTGGGTTTTAAACTACAGTTCGGGGTTTCAAACTAGGGTGAGTGTTTCAATGAAGGGTTTTAAACTTGTTATTTGGTTTCAAAGTCGGGTTTTAGCTTCTGGTAAGGCTTTCAAAGGAGGGTTTAGTGGCCAAGTGACGCCTCCGCTGCCTTGTGTGAATCTAATTGAATTAGAATTTAAATGGGTTCAGAAATGTTGCTGTATTTAAAAGAGTGCAAACAATGGTGATCGTAGGAGTTGCCTTTCGGAGGTGGAGGAACTTCAGGCAGTTGAAAGGATTCAGAAGTGACGTGACATTAGCAATCTTTCCGCTCCACATTGAAGTTTATCGTTTCTTTTGGATTTCAAATTAATTGTGCACAGCGTTGAAGGCCCTTTTAAAGCTCCGGCCCTTTGTTTTGATGTACCGGTACTTTAACATACTTTTTAATCTTCGAGGCATCTCCTCTTGGCTGACGTATGCACTAACTACTGTGTTCATCATGAACTCATTTGGCTCCACGAGAGAGTGACATTCCACGTGGATGACATTTTCGAAAGAACTCTCGTATGATGCTATGCACCGCAAACTACAACCACGAACGTGTGCAGTGTCAATCAAGCGGGACCATTATTATTATTATCTTTGGAGGGGCAGAATTTAAGATTTTGATATCTAAATTGCAAGGTAGCCCTCTGAGGACAGTCATAATGTGTTTTAATCTCAGCGTGAACAGAATGAAAGAGTTCTTCTCTCATATGAAATGAGCACTTTTGTAATTCAACGCAATTGATTCAGTCCATTGTGCTTTCTATTTTCGCACCTTTTCAATTTAAATCGAATTCTAAATGATTTCTTCTATCCTTTGAGGAGACGCAGTGACCCAGTGGGCGTTTTGACGCCTCCTATTCTCCTCCAATGTTTGATGGCAAGTTACGTATTTGCGTCAGCACAGTCAAATTCGTCTTCTTTCTCGACGCACCAGCAAATTTTTAATGCGAATATTCATCCGGGCTTGTACATTCTCCTCATCGCTGATATCCCGCACTTATCGGCTGGACTCAAGAGTTCACTTTCCCATCAAAAGCTCTTTTACCCCTTCTGTCGCGCCCATTTTAATCGGATTGTGCACCTTAGAAATCGGGGATCGACAGGCCTAATTTCACGCGCGTTACCGTCGAATTAATGACGGGTGGTGAAAAGGGGATTTAAAAAGAAGAGCCCTTGACGGAAGGATTGGAGGATTATGTATTCTTGCTGCGGGGCTCAGTTCTCTCAACTGACTTCATGTCGTTACCTGAATGCAACGACACACCTCCATTGTCGCGACCAAGCCGCAAGATTTGGTTTCAGTCGGTCCACAAAATTATAATGCTTTTCTACTGTGGAAAAAAAACGCAAATAGTTGACTAAAACCATTCCACTTTTTGGTACGCTGTGTGCTGTTGTGCTTTCAATTGCACCAATTCTACACTGTTAAAAAAATAAACAAAAAGCTGAGTGAACTCAAAATTTCCTTGCAACAAACTGATAAAATTTAAAGTTAGCAAGTCAACTAAATATTTTACGTTTTACTCATGTGATAAATTGGCTTTCCCACATTTCCAACAGAGAAAAAAGAGTTTACAGAACTAACTCTCCTTTGAATTGTCCAACAACTTCCAGATGTAAGGAAAAACAACTCAGCTTTGTTGTGCTAACTAAAATGGTTGCCGTAATTGTTGAAGGGTCCCTTCAAAGCAGGGCTGTCACCTTTGTATAATGCTTGATTTGCGTTTAAGCCTTTCATGCACCCTGCAACCTGATAACATGATAAGCTGTGCATTGTAGTAAGCGCTGTCCCTGAAAGGGTTAAATGGACCACCCGGGAAAAAAAAATGTTGGGTCTTGGTCAGCTGGAGCAAAGCGCCCCCATGATGGAAGCCGTTTTGTCGACATCGTCAAGAGCGGATGATCTATTTCTCCATTTCTCTATCCAAGTGCGGCCACCTACCCAACCAAAGTGCTCCGTCTGTGTCCAGCTGAGTTGCCGCCAAAGGCGATGATCCCGTCACTGCCGCCTCATTGCCGACTTGTAGCGATCCATCTCGTAGCGCTCTGTGGAAAGACGGCGCTGTTGTTCAGAAGCATGCGCGTCATACTCAATAGCTGTAAAATGTTCTTTTGATTTAATCTGAAGCATCATGACTCCACCGCTCCACCGGCAGCACACTGAGCACCCCCCATAAACGCCTTTGCCAAGCAGCGTTCTAAATGGGCCCGCCTAGCAGCTAACAGATGCCGCAAGAGTCGCGCTCATACAAGGTGGCCCCCGTACTAAGCGGTTGCACACACTCAAGAATTGTGACGACGGGGATAATTTGAACCCACTAAAGTGTCATTCCGACAGAGGGGGCCTCATTAAAACGGCAAGCAACACAGATTGCAGCACTATAACTACACATGCTGTGATTTACTCCGCCGTCAACATCCAAATTATGTCGTGTGGCTCTTGGCGTGCCAAGGATGAGACGTGAGACCGATCCTTGGCTTGGCATGGATGTTGAACCATCAATTATTACTGCTTTCTTACACAATGGAAGCAAATGTAATTATCCGCCGCACTTCGGTTCACAGCCGTGCTGAAAGCTTATGTCCAGCAGGCCGCAGGTGATAAATGGGTCACGCTCCAATTTCAAGCAGCGTAATTTGTTTCTAATGACAGAATCCTTTAATGTGATCGATGCACGCTCGATGCCACGCTTCCTTTTTTTTTTTGTTAAAGCCTCGGACTAAATGAGCTGCGTTTTTTTGGACAACATCCACAAACGAACATTTTAAATAATCGTCGAAGTAAGTTTAAACGCATTGAATCGAAACGTTGCGAATTAACGACGAGCGCGGCAGCTTGTTACGCTAATTTTTCTCTTTAATTTTGATGTTGCCACCCTTTTTTTTAATGTTTATTGAACATGGCGTAAACCTGTTGTGGATTGTTTTTAGCGCTTTTGGCCCTGACGTTCGTTGGAGGAGAGTATGGGCACTTGTTTTACGCCATGACGGGCGGCATGTTTGCGACCGCGCTGTTTTTGTTGATCGGGGGCTCTGTCGGATTGTCTGGGAAGGTACGACTGCGAGGAGTCACAAGAATGTATTCCCGGGGAGAAATCAAGAGGGATACGAGTCAACGTCCCAAAAAGTAAAGTGAAGCGAAAGAGTTGACTAAATGGGACAGGAGAACCTAAACAATCTTTCGGTGTGGTTTCGAACTGCTTGCTTCTGGAAAACTACAGTTGCTGGTTTACTTTCAACCAGCTCGTTGCAAACATGTTTAACTGTGCTGTGATCATGACATGCGACGGTCAATGAATACTTTAGTCTTGCTCCTCTCTCAGCTTAATGAATACTTCGGTGTTGCTCCTCTCTCATCGACTAACAGCTTCAAATCACATGCGCAACAAGAGGGAATACAACGCGGCACCTCCTGTACACAAAGTGGCAAATGCAAACGGGGCCGCTGTGTATTTTGTTCGGAGATTATTCCTAACGGCATATAATTTGATGTTTTGTCGACGCGCAGCTTTTGTTACAGCCGCAGCTGTCGTGAAAGCGATGTCAATCAAAGTTTCATTTGAATTTTAAAACCTCGTCAACATACATACAAAGCGCATCCACAGGAAGCGGCGATGTCAAGCAACATCCAATTCGGAGCTAACCTGATGAATTTAAATGCAATCTATACGTAACATTGACAATCTAAACATTACTATTTTCACGACTGAACCCCCTGAAGGCACACCGTTTTAATCTCGTTGAATTACTGTAGGGAGTATATTGTGCTTTGCTGATGGGATACATGATCTACCCATACTGTTTCATTACATTTGAATCACAACAAGATTGTAATTTATTGTTGCGCCGTGTTACATTTGATCGTGCTGAGAAAATCTGAACGCCGTGGCTGAGGTGATGTCTGTGCTCTCTGCATGGATGCTCTGTCCTACTCATATAGATTCTTCTTCCTCTTCTTCTAACAAGATGCATGACAGAAAAAGCTGTTTTAAATACGTACAAACTATGTGCAGATGTGGAACACTTCATACATTTCATTGTTGTTCATACATTTGGTGTGACTATGAGCACGAATGGTTGTTTGTCTATGTGTGTTCTGCGATTGGCTGGACATCACTTCAGGGTGTCCCCAGCCTACTGCCCGAAGACAGCTGGGACAGGCTCCGGCACATCCGAGACCCTCGTGAGGATAAGCGGCACAGATAATGGATGAACGGGTGAATAATAAATTTCTTAATGCATGTACAAAAGATCCACGACACAAACCCGTCAGAAAAGCGTTTGAAGCAAACGACAAAATAACCACAAACTGTATTTTTTTCTATCTGTGCAAAGGGCTCTCTTGCATGAAAATTACCATTGAAGGACGACACAAAACTGCTGCTTAAGAAACCAACACTAAGTGCAAGAACTCATTTTTGTACATTTTTCACAAAAATCAACTCTGTTAAAATTGGAATTTTATTGAAATCCTGCTTATCATTCCAAATCCACAAAAAATAAAAAATAAAATAAAAAATAAGCCGACTCATGTTTTAGTGCAGTATAAGACCCACATTGTAAGTGCAACTAAAACATGCCTGTCATCTAGTAATGATTGGGTTAAACTACATTGTCTGAAGTCGACACCTGAATATTTGCAGTTTAGCACCAGCCAATTTGCATATTCCCAGATTTTTTTTCCTTTTTTCATATTTGCGATACTGTATTTCCCAGGTTTCACTGGATTTTTTTTTTTTTTTAAATTCCCATTCACGCCGTTTTTCATGGAAAACGTGAGATGATTTTTCCATTTTTATCCCATCTGTAATATACATAATATGCTAGTGCTACGGGAAAATGAACAATATTCTTCTGGAAAACTGGATTACCCAAAGGGGAACGCACACAACCCACTCAGAGGGTATAAAAAGCTTCCAAGTTTGCCCCGCTTCAACTAATTTGTGGTAATCTGATTAATTGCAAATGTAATTTAGATCTTAATTCCCCAAAGTGTGGCATCAGCTGTCATGCTAGGAGCGTGATCGTCAAGATACATTTGTGTGTGTTGGGATTCGGCTTCGTGCGGTTTTTATGACATTATTATTTAATTTTCCCATGTGGAGCCTAAGTGCTGCTGCATGTTCTTCCTTCCCCCACATTCATTAATGCATCCACGGAATTTCATCTGCGAGGCGCATCGCACTCAAGCATGACCAGGCGTGGAAATAACCTTAATCTGAGACTAATCTGTCAACTCAGAGCATCAGAGGATTGATGCGAGGGATGGCAGCGACAGGAATAGAATACGGATGAAGTGTAATCCCATCAAAGTGAAAAAAAAAAAAAAAAAAAGCCTTCCCTCGCTGACACGGCACCACTCACCTGCTCGCCTTGATGCGTATCCAGCGGTTGGTGTCGACGCGCACCGAGGAGCGCAGCACCACCGGCTTGGAGCCCAGGTCATACATCATCTGAACGCGGCCGTCCACGATGGCCAAGGCGATGTAGTCGGAACGCTCCACGCCCTTCCCGCTCCACAGCACGAGGCCCTGAGTCGCCTCCGTGCGGATGCGGAGCTCGAATTTGTTCACCAGCAGAGCCTTTTCACTGGGGGCAGAACGGCGGAGAGGTGAGGTGACATGTGGATGTCCTTCAGTCAACTGAAAAGAGTTCAAATAGTTGACCGAGGGGAGTCTGTGAAACAAGGGAGCTCTATATTAAACTGTCTTATCATCATGAAGATGACACATGGTGCAGGATATTATTGATTACGAGGATGGACAATTGGTTGAAAGTTGCAAAAGTAAATTGAGATGGTACAATTGGGAATTGCACACACAGTGTGTCCTTTTTGAAACATTCCTTCCGAAAATAGGCGGAGCCTCAGCAATGCGTATTAAGAGGAGGAATTTGGGGGGGATTGACACCAGAAGGTTAAGTGGACTTGCATTGCATTCAAATTGAGTTAGACTGCAATGTCAAGCAATGCATCGCCACGTATCACAATCGAAGGAGAATATTTATTTCACTTTTAACACTCATGTAACAATTACCGTGTTAAAATGTTACTTAATACGTTACCTGCACAGTTAATATAAGTTGGCAGAGACAGTTTATTCTTAGATGCATGATTTCTATTGGGGGGCGGGGGGGGGGGTTTCGATATTAAGTCAAGGTTGCCCAATGTCCTGGAATTGATTGATCCTGACATTTTAAGTTCTAATTTATTAACATCAAAAAGTGTTGCTCGGGGATCGTGAAAAGAATCAAAATGAACGGGGATCCTCTTCAGTAGAGCACAGTGGTTCTTAACCTTGTTCGAGGTACCCAACCCAACCAGTTCACATGCACATTCACCGAACCCTTCAATTGTGAAAAATAAAAATCGGATTTTTTTACAAACTCAAGACATTAAAAAACTCATTTCTTAAAAACGGAAAAAAAGTAAATTAAATTTCAAGACATTAGTTTTTTTTTTTTTTTTTTTAAATTGTATGGCAGAGGCTTCGTCGAACCCCTCAGACCGATTCGCCAAACCCCTAGGGTTCGATTGAACCGAGGTTAAGAACCACTGGTATAACACAATAATAAAATATAAATATGCAGTAAGTTGACAATGGCAGAGGACTTGGAAAAGTATGTCAACACACTATTGCTAAATTGTATCCAGTATACAGTGAGGCTCTGTGTTCTCATACTGAACTCGTTTACCCGCTTTGCTTCATTTGAGGGCCAGAGTTCACTGACCTTGTCCCCGAGAGCTTTGCGTCCATCTCTTTGCTCCAATTTCACACCACTTTAATCCGAGCATTTCTTGGTGCACCTTGAATTTTTGTCACATTCAAGAGACAAGAGCTTTCCGCCAAAAAATTAGGACCATGCAATCATCCAAAATGACGCCTTTGGAAGATGAAGATTCAAGATTCAGGGGCAACTAAGCATGACTAATTCATTCTACAAACTCCATCACAAGGCTTTCATCCAGGTTGTGTATTATTGACGTGAGGGCAATCGGAATGCAGACAGTGTTTCAGTATAGAGGGGGGCGCTGTATGTCGACCGAGCGGGTGTTGTTCACAACCTCTCTTCTTGTGTCTGCTGATGTGTCTTCAGGTGGCATGTTTGATCTTCTGCCTGCTCACACCCTGGGAGGGTGAAGATAAGATGCTATCCCAAAGAGGCATTGCACGGAACGGCCAAACGTGCACTCACAATCGCCATACGGGTATGTTTAAAAAAAAAAAAAAAAAAGGCCAGCCAGTTCTTTATGTTTTCCCGGTGGAGTGTCAACGGGAATGCACCCTCCCCCCCACCCCATGGAAAAATCCGACCTACCATATGCTGGCATGACTGTTCGTAAGGTACAATTTTGTGTGCGTGCCATCAATCAGCATCTGTGCAATTGTTCGCACATCTGGCACAAAGCTCTAATCCACCTTCCTCAAAGGGTATTTTAACACAAAGACAAGGTGAGGACAACAAACAACCAGTGGCACATAGATGGAAAAAAAAACAACAATAGCAAAGAGCTGGGTACAAAAGATTAGACGAGACAGACAACATGGCACGGGAGTCAGCGTGGAAAAAAAAAGAGGCTCACGGAAGTGATTTTTTTTTTTTCTTATGTACAAGAATGAAAGAGGTACACTATGAAGAGCAACGAGACAAGAGTTGGCAGAACAGCAAAAATGTGGTTCACCTCAGCAGAACAAAATGACTTTAAAAAAAGTGTTTCATTTTATATTTCTTATCTTCTGTTGACAAACGCAAAGTTTTTATTTCCTTTTTGTTCTTTAATTCCTATTTCTCCATTGAAAGAAAAAGTCCTGGATGTAAAAGTCATTCATTATCTGAATCTGCTGAGGTTACCAGAAACACCAACAAAAAAGGAAAGTATCGTATTTTTTTTTCTCCCCATACAGGGGGAAAAAAATACAACCCAAAACAAATAAAGCTCAACGAATCCTCTTCTGGCAAACCCTCAAAGAGCTCACAGGGACCAATAAATCTCCATCCGAGCAGCTTGTCAGTGATAAGTTCAAGGTTATTAAGCGAGCTGAATATATCATGAATAAAACAACGGCGCGCACGCGGGGTTTGGAAATCTCATATACGCCGCTGACTTCCGCGACCGGTACTGTGTCGTTGCCTCTGTTTTTATAAATGGTTGGATTTTATCTACTTTGAACACGTGTTCAAATTCTGTTAACAGTGTGTTCCGCAACGGCCCGCTCCTGCCAGTGTAACTCTAGGTGGCAGCAGAGTGTAAAATACAAAAGCGAAAGGCCCCAACGGGAGCGCCTCGGAGGCTGCGGATCCAGTTCTGTGCTGCCATCAGAGCCTTGAATTTGGATGAAATCAAAAAATGTCAAGAGGTTCAGTGTGACTCGTTCTTGTAACTCTGTTGCGATAATTAAAACGACGCCGCATCCGCGGAAGGAGCTTTAGCCTGTTGGGCGGAAGGTGAGGGTTTGTCTCAGAAGAAGAAGAAGAAGTAGGGGGATGAGGAATAAGAGCCCGCATGTCTTAAAGGTCTGAGAGACTCACCTCTGGTCAGACGGGTTCTCCACAGACTCGGGACTTTGGGAAAAGGGGGGGGGGGGAGAAAGTCAAGGGCATGCAACGTAAGCGGAGAGGCCAAAAAAGGACGGAGGGAAGGAGGGGTTGGTGTGACCCAAAGCTGAAACAAGCTAATGGTCCTTCACTCCAATATCCAGCATGGTGGCTGTCACTATCACCTGTCGTGATCAGAAGTGTGCGACGAGGGATAGGCGTGTTCAAATGATGGATCGATTGTTGAGCAAACACATTTTGTTTGACCACATTTGATTTCTATTATTTGCAACAGAAGCGTGATGTTGTGTCATCGCAGGTCTGAAGTTGCCCTTGTAAATAAATGCCGTCAAAGGAAAAGTGCACTGGAATGCCGCTCGAAGACATATTTCCTGTTCCTTAACTCAGGACGGCTGAAACACTGCAATTTGAATGTGAGGTCACACAAAAAAAGACCCCCGCAGTTAATATCAATCCAATCCAGCTATTTTCTTTGTTGCTTATCCTGTTCCAAGGAAATCAGTATTTCGCGATGTCTTCTCTGCATGAACCGTTTCAGTGAATCTTTATCGGAAACAATTATCCGAGACTGCCCCAAAAAAAAAAAAAAAAGATACATACAGTTGATTGTTATTACTGCTGGCGGTCAAATTGTCGATTCCCAACAAAACAAATTCTTGCTTATTACCTTCGTCAGTCATGTGACGCTAATGCTAGAAAAAGACACCGGATAAAAGCAACGGTTGGTGTAAATACGATGTGCATTAAAAGACCAGATTGCTGGAAAGGAAATGGAGTGAAGTGGATTGCCAAATAGAGCAGGCGGTCACCGGATTCAATTGGACTCCAATTCGAGTGTATTCATATCGTGATACACTCTTTATTCGCGAGAACCAATGTGATGCAATTACTTTATTTCATTACAGTTGATTTGCGCGATCGAATACAAAACACCGTTTGTTCACGGTCTTTAAGGTCTCTTTGTTTGGCTTTGAATGGGTCTTTTTAACAATTAAGAGTGTCTAAGTGGTGAAATATAATTACCTCTTGGAAATGGAGTTTATTGTAGGAAAACAAGCTGTTATGTACCACAACCATTGCTAACAATATTTGTTTTCTCGATTCGACAATCGAGACATTCACTTGAATGTGCATCCCTTTGTGCCTCCGTCACACTACAACCATAAAAAGAGGCACTCCAGGGCACCACTGTTGTATCAAGGTTGCTAATGTGCCCCCCCTCCCCAAAAAAAAACAAGCATCTTTTAAAGGGCAACATCAAGATAACGTGTATTCATTTTCAGCGTCTGCACCTCGCACCGAGACCTTATTCAGCTACTTTCCCGAACAACCGCTTGAGCTAAATGAGGCAAGTATGCCACTGGGTAGCATCAATTAACTAGAGCAGTGAACGAGACACACTGGTCAAAAAATGGGGTCAAGTGCCACAGCGGCGGTGGGAAATCATCGCCATATATGATTTGTCATTGAAAGAATGGGCCTTGAGCCAAATCCACCCAAGCTTTTACGGCCCGGGCAAAGCGAGCAAGAGCCATCCAAGGATGCTCCGCGTGGTAGTGCCATTAACCCGAGGTGAACGTTTTTGACTTTGCGCCCTTGCCGAGCACTCGATGGCCTTTGTGAGAAATGTATTCATTTCTGGTTCAAAATCAAATCAAGCCGAATTGATCCGTGCACCTGCAGAGCGCTGTGCCCGAGCTGCGCTTACTTAGACTCAAATTCATTGTGGCGCTTTAACTAAATGTGACATCCATTACACTTTTGACAGTCTGGCTCCGAGGAGCCGTTATTCTCCCCCCGCCCCCCCCACCTCTGTTAAGTGAGATTGATGCCTTTGGATACACACTGGAAGGGCTCTCAACTGGGGGTCCATGGGAGGGGGGCATGTTTATGATTAACATGATGCTGGCTCTATCTATGGTGGCCTGTAATGTAATTAATTAATTCCTTATAACAGATATTTGGAAAATAAACACAGAGGACAAAGATTGGAAATCTGATCCGAATCCAGTAAGCTTTTCCAGGCTACTTACCAAGCTAATGATCAGGAATAATAAACTGTCCAAGCGCCAGAAACTAGGTCAGTATATCTTCCTCTTGCTGTTTTTCAAGGGAGGGAGGCGGTCGGGGAGGTCTCCTTCATGTTCCACATTCCACTTAATACCATTTAATGCATAAATGCATGGCGGTTCATTTTGTATACTCACCGTGCATAAAATATCGCACATTTTCAATACAGCAATTCAATTTGGCAATGCTTATCATGCGCACATTCATGCTTGTCGTTGCACTGGGGGAGGGCCGAGGGGAACTGAAAGGGTCAAATGACATTGCAAATGGTGGTGACAATAACAAAATCTGTCAAACTGAAACAAAATGGAGTTGAATTGAAAGAATAAGGGGGACATGTACAGTCGGGATGGCTATTGTAGGCATGTAGATGAGAATATGACTGGAAACGGGATGTTTTTAGTGTTTTTCAGTTATGTTAATTATCCCAAAAAATGGACCATTTGTTGCTGTTAGTTGGGCTCGATCTGAAGCTGGGCAATTTCTCAATAGACGTATCCTCTACTTACTCTGGGATCTCATTGGTCAGTTGGCTTTGGTGGAAAAGGAAAGACAGTGAGGGACATTTTGTGTGAGAAGTGACACACAAAGACAAAAAGACGTCAAGGCTAACACTGGACAAAGCAAGCAACACACAAAAAACAGACAGTGGTCCGGGAGCACCTTATGCAACATTGCTTGTTATTTGGGGCTTCGTGTTGACAAATATATGGAGCCGTTTATTTTCTCTCTGTTCAGAGACTGTTTCTAATCATCCCCGTGGCAAACTTCATGCTGGAGAAGTACAATTGTCAAACCAGCATCCTAGAGGGAGACAACCTTTTGTTTTCTTCTTGTGTCGTGTCTCCTCCGCGACGCTCTTCGACATTGATGCCATCAGCTTGATGTCTTTTGTAGAATGTCAGATATTGCAAGTCTTATGCAAAAAGACGACATGGTTTACTCAGGGCAACACTTTGATTGTTGAACGTCTCGGTACTTACGGGAAATTGTGTTAAAAGAAGGCCTATTAGCTTGCTGCTAGTCCCCCTGAAGCGTGTGAGCTAATGATATCATCAAGCTTGTCATCGCGGCTTAGTGAGGGCGCGACGAGACAGATCGTATGAGGGTTTATTTGGTTAATTCGGCAATTAGGATGGAATTGTAGTATTAGGCTAAATAGATGGGGACATGATCTCGTCCTCTTCCTTACCTCCTGGTGACGGCGTTGTGGTATTCGATGAACGTCCGCCCGTCAAAGGCAATGGCCTCAGTCTCAGTCCCGGCAGACTTCTCATAAATGGCTGTGAAGGAAGGGGCAGGATGGGACACCGGGGGATTGTTGAGTGGATGAGCTCACACCAATCAATAAGAGGGAAGGTTCAGTCATCAGAGCCGACACGGGAGTGCTGGTGCATATTTAATTAACGTCAAAAGGACAGACGGCCACGTGCGCAAGGTTAATGGCAGAGGCGGGGAATGTTTTCGGAAGATACATCGAGCCAGGGGTTCATTTAAATCTGCCAAGCAGACACGATAAAAGGTACAGCGAGTCACATGTTGCAGAAGTGCCAGATGATTCACTTAATAATTTCCCTGAGTGCTACTTTAGTATAAGATCAAAGAACAATAATACTGGCTGGTAAGGATTAACTACATGTAATATTGCTTTATTATGACCCGCTTTTGCAAAATTCTACACACTGAAATGGATTAGAGCGCCAAACATTTCAATGGACTTTTGCTCTTCATTAAACCCGATGATCTGAGCTCAATTCCACAAGTCATTCAGCTTGCGCTCGTGAGAATTTAAAAGTGTACAAAATGTTAAGCCCTAGATTTCAACAATTCATTTTTTGCACATTAAGTCAATGTTTTTTTTTTTTTTTACTTTGACAAGCATCATAAAAAAAGAAAAAAATATGGCAGACATGCTTGCACCAAAACAGTACAATAATAAAAATAATACAGTGGTACCTCTACTTACGAACATCTCTTCAGACGGAATTTTCAAGTTATGAAACGCCTCAACAGGAAAATATTGCCTCTTGTTGCGAAAGAAATTTCAAGATACGAAAGGTAAAAACACAGGATGAGCTGCTACTCGCAGCTCCGTTTTTCCTGAACGCAACATACTTATAGCTGCTCTGCCATTGGCTATTACCTAGCATCTTCCTGGCATCCCATTGGCTAAGAGGGACCTCTGCCGAATGTGTCTATGTGTGTAGATAGACAAATAGATAGATATGTGTCGATGTCATTCACCCCTCGGGCCATGAGGCGTTCCGATAGTGTTACGTGAATGTGAATCACCCAGAAAAAGTGTTCACCAGTCGGGCGATCGCTCCCAATGCTGATGTTTGCCTGGGACATTTTCGAAGGATTGTTAACATCCTTGGATCAGTTCTTTACAAAACGCCAGGCAAAAACCACTTCTGAGAGAGAACATGAACAAAAAAGGGCAAAAAACGATGAGGACACAGTTAAAAGTTAAAGGACCATAATTTTTATTCTTTACTCTATTCATTGTGTTTTAAATTATGCACAACTCATTTATTGTGCAATAAGCTAATTGCAATATGCATTTGTTCCATATGTTGATGCATTTTTATGCTTTAGAAAACATTTATGTCTGAATTTTGGGTGGGCTTGGAACGGATTAGGGCGTTTACATGGAAAACGCGTTTCTACTTACAAAAGGTTCTAGTTAAGAAATTTCTTCCAAAACTCTACTTAATTTCGTAAGTAGAGGTACCACTGTAAATCTACTCAAGTTACTTACTGTTCTGACAGTGTCCGCCAGAGTAGCCACTGAGGCACACGCACTCATAAGTGTCCAGCTGGGGGTTGCAGCGCCCCCCGTTGTGGCAGGGTTCTCGGGAACATGCGTGCTCCTGGAACATGGCCAGATTTTGAGAGCGCAGGGCGTTCTCTTCTCTGAGGATTGGCGTGCCCATCAAAATGATCTAGTGCAAAAACTCATGCCAGTTAGTCAAATCAGTCAATGCCAAGTCAAGACAAGATTTATCAGCCCTACATAACATCTGTATCCTGTCCGAGACGGTTTTAGACGATGAGGCACACTTCACAACGGTAGGCAAAGCCATGGAGCAAAAACAATCAATCATCTACACTTTGCTCTGGAGGAAAAGATATCATGGGCGAGTAAAACCACATACATCACCGAAGGAGAAAGACTAACATCCACAGTAATAGTGGCATCGGATATTACAACTGGTGCTCATGCATCACAAAGTGTATGTTAAACTCTACATCAAACTGAGAACTCAACACTTTTTCGACATAATTAACTTTTCTCCAGTGGCCACGAAAGACAAATGCCATACTTAGCTTGTGATTTTCTCCAAAGTGTCAGGGGGAAACTGGAGAAGAGAACTAATCACAAGTTTATGCAAACAGCAACATCCTGCTTTTGTTCTGCTGGGCTATTTATGTCATTTTACTGGAAAGCGAGAGATGGGGACGATTAAAAAAAAAATACCAGGAAGATGTTCGGGAAAGATCTAAGGCAAAACAAAAAGGGACTTCATAATACGCATTCTATTCTTAAATGCATGGCATGCTAATCCAAATGAGCAGTGCCACTTTGATCTTAGAATGTGAAAAAAATATATTAATATGACCGTGGATAAAGTGACAACTTGACAACTAATATACAACTGCTTGATATTTGTATGGGCCAAAAGAACAAGTCATTAAATAGTACAGCAGAACGTCTCCTGATCACCGGAGCCCAGAGTTCAAAGTAAACATGGTGAAGCAGCATTTAGCTGTTATGCTGCAAAAAAAATATAAATAAAAGAAGAAGCCAACAGAAGTGGAGTTAGCCCCAGTGATCTTTTTAAATTATTTTCGTGTTCTCTGTTTTGCTTCTAATGTCGTTAGCGGTAGTCTTTGTAAATGCTTGTAGGTGTTGGGTCTTTGCCGGTGTGTAGCACATTGAGCTGCCTTGTGTATAAAATGTGCAATCTAAATTAAGTTGCGTTGCCTTTACATTCGAACGGTGATGATCAACCCGTTTGTTTAGATTAAGCTTTGGGGAATAATGGAAATTACATTTATGTGTTACAGGGTCAAATATAATAATAATAATAAAGCCTTCATTGAGCGCACTGGCAAATTGTAAGTAATATTTTGACAATTTAGGTCAGCATAAATGTGAACAATGTAGAACCACTGTTTGACACTTAAAAACAACCAATGGTATACTCTTTGATAACCTGACAGATGCAGAGCACCCGATAGTTAAGTTATACCACAATATTTGCGCTTTATACTCCGATGCACCTTATATGTGTATCAATACTCCGATTTCTTGGACGGAGTATTTGAAATGTTCTGTCAAGCGCTTTGTTCCAGCTGCAGCCGTTGTGAGGGCTCGATATAAATAAAACTGCACTGTATTGTATTCCCTTTAGCGTAGTTCCATCTAGTGGATGCATAACGTAACCGCAGCCAGGGCTCTATATCAATAAATCTGTATTGTATTGTATTCCCTTTAGCATAGCTCCATCTAGTGGATGGATAATGCAACCGCAGCCACTATTGTAGCTTGTATTCTATGCGCCTTATAATGTGGTGTGCCCCACTTAAGAGAACAGTTTCAAACTAGGCCATTCATTGAAGGTGCGCCGTATACTCCGAAGCGCCTTATACTAACCCGACCCCTGCACTACACCCCTCGCGATCGACTTGGGACCAGTCCGCGAGCTACCGCTCAATCGCATTCGATGTAATGGGCACCCCTACTGTACAGTATATGCATTGCGCTAGCTCAGTCTTAAGGTAAAGAATGTGTGGAAGAAGACTTTGCCTTGCACTTTCAATTCCTATTTTCATTGTTGACCTTTCGTCAATCTGCGATCTTGGAGCTATACTTTTATTTGTTGTCATCACTTTCACAAAAAACAACAAAAAAAAAAGAAACAAAAATGGCATGAATCCTTTTGCTGCTTTTGTGAGATGTCAAAGTGTTACGTGACACTTTTCAAGACAGCAGTTCAAACTTTCGGTTTTTATTTGACTTCAGAGGCTTCAGTGCAAAAAAGGCCACAGGCTGCGTCGATGTCACAACAGTCCTTCAGGAAATAAAGACTGCCAAACATTTACCTTTTGGATCGTTCCCTTGAAGCCTTCTGTGAGTGCGGCGCTTCGTGCAAGTCGGCTATAGTCAGGAGCCCCACCAACAAAGAGAGATTCTTTCAGGTTGAGGTCCACATGGAGATTCTGATGAAAGATGAGAACAAATTGGTTTCAACGGGCAAAACAAACACAAAACCCTCCTCGCTTCAGAAAGTAATCTGTTTTTGTAGTCCTTTTGTATTCAGGACATGATGGTTTATGCAGTTGTATGCTTTGAGTCCTGTGAGCCTGAAATAAATTGCATCCTTTTAGTTGATATATATAAAAGGGGAGATTAATGTAGTGCATTTGCACATATGCCATCGTAATAAATAGATTCTTCCATTAAAATGATCCGTATTCGTTTTGGAGCCCGCGGAGGCCATAACCGCACCTTCTTACCCTCAACGCACATCAGCGCAGTTGATGTATTACAACATAATTAATTTCTATGTCTGCTGAGAGGGTGGTCAATTATCTTCTAGATGTGAGGCATTAAAAGCAAGTCCAAAAGAGAATCATCCTGAGATATAAAGACAAGAGAATTTTTTTTACAGATATGTTTTTAAAGCTTGGCACAGATCTAAGGAAAGAAAAAAAAATCAAGTTTATTCTAAGTGGGCCACTAATTGTCAGCAGAGAAAGATGGAGTTAATTGCTGGGAAAACGACAGAAGAGGCCAAATAAACAGGCTTTGTGAAGGCGAGCTGGCTTTTATTGAGGCGAGGATTTGGAGTGCAGGAGGCAGAGACGCTTGGCTAAAGCTGAGATTGTGTTGTTGCATCCAACAGAGACATATCGAGGGCTTAAGCCAAGGTGGGCTGGACCCAGATGTGAGTGTATTCGCTCTGCTTCGCCAATGTTCTCATCCACTGCGGGACAGCGACGATGCAAAGCCCCAAATTGTGTTACACAGTGACGATTCAACACGCACACACAAAAAGTACTCTAGGGATAGTATAGGACATGAATATTAAATCATTGATCAATCTTTTATCGTACAATGTTGAAATTCTTAAACTGTGACTTGATAAATGTGTTTTTTAAAATATTTTACAAGTTATAAGCAAAACAAAACATTGAACAAAAACCCATCCACCCATTTTCCAATCCGCTTATCTTCATGAGGGTCGCAGGTGTGCTGGAGCCTTTCCCGGTTTTCTTCGGAGCAGTACGTGGGCCAATCGCAGGGCACAAATAAACAACCATTCACTCTTGCAGTCACACCTAGAAACAATTTCGAGTGTTCCATTAACTTGACGTTCATATTTTTGGAAAGTAGGAGGGAACCGAAATACCTGGAGAAACCCACGCAGGCACAGGAAGAACATTCAAACTCCACACAGGAAGGGCCGGAATTGAACCCTGCACCTCTGGACTGTGAGGCGGACGTGCCGCCCATTCACCAAACAATATTTGTATATTACATTAAAACTTCCTGAGTGACTTACTCCCGAAACATTCAATAGCGAAGGAAATAAAAATATAGGGGCAGGGCCTGCTGAAACAAATTTGCGATTACTTTACTTATTTTTTAGAGAGTACTTCATCATTTTATTTAAACAAAAATGATAATCAGAGAAAATTATAAAAATACTCAACAGTACAACAAAAGCAGAGCACCATAAAATGACAGTGAACTACTAAGAATTGACCCCTCAAGAGTGTCAAATATACCTTAAAATGTAAACATTACTATTTTGAAATGATGATCCTCCATACGGTGTTAACATCATCATTACTTACACATTTGCATGATCAAAAGATGACATGACTGATTGGTGCTTTGGTACGATGGCTGCACGGCTAGTTAGTAGCGGCTATACCGCTAATGTGATGTGGGTAGGCTGTGTGAACTCTGCTAGTGTTTTTTTTTTCATGCTTTACATGTCATCATTTGGGTTTTACTTGTTCAAATGATTCAACTGTATTGCCGTGCTGTCTGTTTTTGAACAACGGCTTCATCCCACCACACAAGGAGTGATGAGGAACAAAATGGCTTCATCTTCGGAAGATAACGCTTAGCTATGGTTGCCCGCCTGCTGTGTGTTTAGCGGCACGTTCAGTCAGTGTTTACTTCTTACGATTACTTTATGATTACTTCTTCAACTTGTGAACTAAAGTAAAGCAGGAAAAGGTCCACTCAGATTGGCTGCTGTCAAGCACATTTCCACCGTGTGTTAATATACACTGGTAACTGTAAACCCTTGGCAAATGCTAAAAAAAAAACCAACATTCTTCTAAATAATAATAACAATAATACAGCTAAAATAATTTTATATGCTAAAGTTATTACATTTATAGAGGAGTAAACAAACTTTTTTGTGTTGATCAGAGGAAAAAAAAAAATTGTCAGTCCAAAGACTATGAATTGACTTATGACTGGCTTAAACATAATATAATTTATTAACTTGCTTGACATTTTGCAATATTTGAGTTATTTCCACCTCTGCAATATAACTTCAATAAATATATCAATCCATCCATTTTCTGATCCACTTTATCCTCACAAGGGTCGTGGGGCTCACCGACTCACAAACAAAATGGCAATGAAATCACTGTCTCCTTGAGGACAGCACGATTCACATGATTATTTCAATGTACGAAATCCAACAGCAAGCACTCTAATTGGATATACTGTCCACCTCTTTCTGATCTGTTGGGCTGCTAACTGAGCTATGAGACAGTAGGACATATTCTGAAGTATGTTCTGCTTTTTTTTTTTTTTTTTTTTTTTTTAAACAGAGCACCACCGCCACAGCTGCCACTGCAGAAAAAAAAAAAAAAACTTGTGTTTTTGCGACACTCAAGTTAGATATCATACAAGGAAAAAGTGTCATTTAGTTGGCTCTTGTGAGAGAGGACACACCAGGTTTGATGGAGTGTTTGTAGCCCGCTGAAGTTCACTGCGCATTTGGGCTACTGTGGGGCCGAGCGAGTGGGTGAAGGGGGACTTGTCATAGGACGGAGGACTGTTTCTGTTTACAAAACAAGCGAGAGTAGACGACAAAGGAACAACGCGGGTTTAACTCCTAAGTACCTCCACTGTCTTCATGGGTACATTTTTCACAGCTGCGAGGCCCGACGCGATATCTCCACCTACGCAGGACTAATGAAAACGTTTGTTGCCACTTAAAAACAATGGCCGGCACAATGATGGCTGCCTCTGCTTCTTTCTTTCTTCCTTCCAACCTTCACACCCCATCCGCCCCCGCAGCAGATGGAATGAGGTGAAAGCCAAAGTGTGTTTTTATAGAGCTCCTTGCCTCAGTGCGGTTTGTGTTGTGCGCACGGGCTAATGAAACGACAAGTTTTTCGACAAAGCTGACCACTGCTCTGGAGAATTATAATTTTTTTTTTTCCCCATGGCACAAAGAGAGGTGGGAGTGAGAGGACATAGTGAATGGCTGAAAATGAAACATGGGCTAAGGTGTGACTTGTCTCATTACCTTGCGTGATTTCTTATATCCAGACAGCACATCATCGAGAAAGAAATAGGGAGGAATATAGTTATTAGAAGACCGGTAAGGGTGCATAGTGAGACATGCCGAAACCTGCAGCAACATGCACACGTGAAGCGGCTTCATGCACTGAGACAGGCCAAATACATGCCCAAAGTTTGGCTTTAAAATTTAAAAATTGTATGCCGGGCGTCACCAACATAGAGCCAGAGGCACCAGGTAGCCCCCAAAGACCACATGATGAGCCAGTGGGTTTGTTTAATAATAGCTCATGGTGAGACATTGGCATTTCCTATGAATGTTGCAGAAGCGATTGTTTTTTTTTTTTTTTAATTATATGTTTACAATTTTTTTTATACGACTTGGTACTAATCAGCGGTTGGTGACATCTGTTCTCTGCATTTTGGTCTTCAGTCCACACACGGCTATTTTAGTTATGGATGAGCTAAATGAGCTAGCTAGCTTGCTAGAGGGCTAGATAGCTAGCTAGATAGATAAATAAATACATAAATAAATAAATACATAAATAAAAGTTCACTTCATGATGTCATTTATGTGAGAAGATCGTACTTGGTTTTGTTTTGATTTAGCCTTTGTCACGCCACGATCAGTTGATAAGTATACTGGACTTCTTTAAGTTGCTATAAGCAGTCGCGAAGATGCCGTGCCTTGATTCTTGCCGGGTACGTCGTCAACTTAAAAATGATTTTGAACAATAACGAATCACCTAACACCGGGGGAAAATAACAGGTGGTGCGTCATGGTGACTGTAATTACCTTTACTTTGCCATCTGATACCAATATGTGTCACAGGAGACTGTTATGTTAACAGAGACATCGTTAACTGAACAGCAAATAAGTCATCTCTAAAGTTGAAAACTTGAAATTGAAAAAATGTTTCATTGTATTTTTTTGGCAATGATCTGGTTAAGAGTAAATGATTTTTATTTTTATTTTTTTACCATGTGAGTCAATGTGACACCATTGGAACTGTCCAACGATCAGAATAATTTTGGGCAGCTGGCATCTGTTCCACATCACGCATTAACAAGAAGGTAACTTGCGACCTAACATGGAGATGGACAAACCAAACCCAAATGCAAAACTCTCTGAATTGTCTTCACAGTTCATCCTCGGCAATATACTTTTTATTGCCAAAACAACAAATGTTATGGTGCAAAAATTTTGCACAGCACTGTATATTCTAAGACAGGTCTTTAAATAAGCAAGGGAATGGGCCCGAGCTGTAAGAATAAGCGACACAGCATGCGGTGTGGCATTATCACTCGTATACATCTTGTACATGCACATTAAAAACTCAAATGGAAAATACTCATTGAGAGATCATGCAAGAAGAAGAAATGTCATTGTGAAGAGATGAAAACAGAACCCTTGTCAATAACAAAGGTGTCCCTCAATCAGTCTCATTTAAAGGACGTGCAGCCGTGATGTGCGAGGTGAACCAAAACTGTTATTTCTTCTGTCTGTGCCTTTGAAAGTATGTGCTTCATCATGCTGTCAGCCCGAGCTGTCCTCGGTATGAAGAACACTCCCAGCATGCAATATATCCTGGATATAAATATATAAGTCCATTCCAAGCGCGCAGACATTTTATTTTGAAGAGTGCCGACACTCGGCTCTAAAGCTCTTTAACTAGCTTCAGCTCATCCCTTGCCGTCCCAACAGCCCGTCACCCCCCTCCACTGCCTTCTTTGCTTTTCGCCCCCTTTATTCTATGAAGATTTTCTGCCTCTATTGCAGGGGTAAGATTACAATTACCATATGGATGATGAAAGAAGGTGGCGGCGTGGAAGCAGCGAAGAGGAAAATTTGCTGTGTTGATTGTGAGGAGATGATGGGAGTTAACCAAATGCGTGTTCATAATCACAAATTACACAGTCAAATGTAATTGGACGGCTCATGGCGGCTTATCGGGCCAAAGGCTCGACACCATTTGAAACTGCGCACCTGCTCGGGTGGACTAACGAGTTTTGTGATGCCGCAATGTGCTTCTTCGGTGTCTGACTTCATAAATTTAAGAGCGCACTCTTGAGGCTATTTTTCTTTGGATTGTTACCTCAATGAAATGAAAGGCTGAAAAACAAAACAAAACAAAACAAAACAAAACAAAACAAAACAAAACAAAACAAAACAAAAAAGGAGTTACCGGATCCACAGCCTGTCAAAAGTGTCCCCTGATATCTGCAGCTCGACCTCTAACTTTGATGAATGTCAGACTTAGGCATTTTTTTTCAGCAAAATGCCATAGAGGGCTGGTTTTCATCATGGATCGCATTAAAAAAAACACAAAAGAGGAGCCAGTACTGTTACATAAAACTTAAAATCATATTACAGCCTATGTCTGTAGTTGAATTATATACACAGATGGGAATTACCAGAAATGTTATGCTCTTGTGTATAAATGTATGCTGGGGCAATCCACAACTTGCTTTTTTTGACACACCAACTGAGAATCACTGCTAAACAATCAGAATGGGGGCATTTTGTCATTTGTTGCTGCTGAGAGAGTTGGACAGGGCTTCAAAAAAAAAAAAAAAAAAAAAAAAAAAAAAAAAAAAAAAAAACAGAAGTGCAAAGAAGAGCAGAAACAGTTGTAATTGTTGATGGGGATTTTGCAATATGATGTGAGAGGAGCAGCTGATGGAACAACAACAGGAAGTATGTCCCCCAAGCATGGCAAAGCATCCCACATCGGCCCAAAAGCTCAGCATGCTGAAAGCAAGACGACATTAGCAGGAGCTTGTGAGTGCCTTTACCGGTGCCTCTCCTCGAACAGCGTCCTTCTTGTTCACCATGATCTCTCCTTTGCGATTGGAGCGCTCCAAGCTGATGGTGTTCCACATGTTGAGCCTGATTGGTTCTTTACTCCTAAATCACAAGAACATCTCGATGTGTGAGCAACTGGGCAAATGTAGAATAAAGCCAAATAAAATTAAATAAATTAGAAGAACACATCAACTCCCTGCCAGGCCCCAAAAAAAGGGAGTAAGTCTATGGAATAAGGTTTGTTTGAACGATATGTCCACACATCCATCCATTTTCCGATCCGATTATGCTCACAAGAGTCGAGGGGGGTGCTGGAGCCTATCCCAGCCGTCTCCAGTCAGTAGGCGGGAGACACCCTGAACCGGTTGCCAGCCAATCGCAGGTCACACAGAGACGAACAACCATCCACGCTCGCACTCACACCTCGGGACAATTTTAGAGTGTTCAATCAGCCTGCCATGCATGTTTTTGGAATGTGGGAGGAAACCGGAGTACCCGGAGAAAACCCACACAGGCCCGGGGAGAACATGCAAACTCCACACAAGGAGGGATCGAACCCACGACCTCTGCACTGTGAGGTTGATGTGCTAACCACTGGACCGCTGGGCCGCCCGAACGGTATGTTTGTCACAAAAATAGCAGCATAAGTTGTGACATAAAATATAAAGTGTGTTTACTGCAGCTGTGTCCCTGGCTTTGACAGCTTATTACGAGAGTCGGTTTATGCCAACCTGATGGTAGCAGGCCCCTTGCCAAGGTCATAGCGGAACTCCAGGATCCCCTCGTCCAGGGACAAAGAGATGAAGTCTCCTTTTCCGTCAGATTTTTGCCCGTTGTAGAAGATCAGGCCGTTGGAGTCATTGGCCATCAGAACGACTGTCATGCTGACTTTTTGACTGGATACAAAGCGCATGCAGAGAGGTTAAACATGTACGCAAGAGTTGCTTATTGTGTTTCAAGTCATAACGATGTGGCGGATGAGTAACGCAAATATTTGGATGCAGAAAAAAAAAGAACTCACCGCAGATCATGTCCGTAAAGATGCAGTCCCTTGAGCTCGAGGTAAGAGTCTCCATTAAATAGCGGCATGTAGGCCCCTCTCCTCTCCGCAACTGGAAGCATAAAAAAGGGGCCTTTCATTCCGCCTGTTTAACCCTTTCGTGCACCCTGTAAACTGATCACATGATAAGCTGTCCACTGCAGTCACCTCTGTCCCTGAAAGGGTTAAAGAGGAGCAAATATAATGGAATTCGAATCTACATAAGCAGACAACTGACAACCGGCAGACATTGAATCGGATTTTCCATGCTTTGATCCAAATGACGGCAACTAAACAGTGACAATGAGATCTTGGCTGAAACTTGGCTGGACAGCTTCTGACCCTCCATGCACCGCACATTTTCTAAAAATGTCAGATTTTAGAATTGCACTGCTAAAAAAATAAGACATTTTGAATGTTTTGCATTCAATCAATTTGAATTAGTAAACGACTGCAAACTAAACATTTTTTTCAGATAATTAAGACTTGTGATGTTCATTTTATCCACAATTCCCATTGCATATTTTCATAACTGATGACTCCATGAAACTGACTTCATCCGTTTCATAATTTTGACGCTAACATCCTTTTGTGGGAGTCTAACCAAAATGTAATTGGAACATCCTCGAACAGTTAAAAAAAAACTAACAACTTGCAAATCCAAGGTGAAGTACAAAACAACTTCCTTAGCGGCGTTCAGAAAAAAACAAAACAAAACAATACACAGCAGCAGCAGCCTGTCCCGGTGTCACAGTCAAACAAACAACATCTCAGGGCACGTGGAGTGCCATTTGGAAAGAATGCCACTATGTCTGCAGGATGTTCTGTTCCGTGGCAAGAAGAAAAAGCAGAAGAGCTTGAAGTGGTTTGACGTTGGCCAAGCAATCAAGTGCGACCGGAGGGGATGTGTTTGGGGATGTTCCTCCAGCCCGTTGCATTCACAGTGTGGAAATAAGCCCCGCACACCTACAGCGTGATTGGTAACGGGGTGAAATGAGGAACTGTCTTGGCTCAGGCATGCTGAGATGAGAAAGCTGATAAGAAAGACTGAATCGGAATGACGCGGCGCACCGGTGGGAAACTTGCAGACAACCATCCCGCGTGGAACTCATCTCTTTGAAATAGAAAACTGAGCTACTGGGACTATAATTTCTCAGAGCGGAGTGAGGGCATTTTATTTATTTATTTGCATGTGCAGAAAATAATGTCGTAAGGAGCTGAGTGGCCATGGCTGACAACCAGATCACATATGGATGAAGAAGAGCATACTTTGCCAAAGCATTCATCCACGATAACGGTTTGAAGATGGCAGTTTAGAATGGAGCAAATTACAGTGGTTCCTTGAGAGATGGGTGACCTGACTTTTGAGTTATTGACACGGGTTGTCATTTGGCCATTTTGTTTGGCTTTGACTTAGGAGCGCAAACTTGTGAGACGAGCACTATATGGCGGCAGTGACCTCAATTCAGCGTACTCCAAAAGAAACGACCATTTGACAAATGGTAGGTAGCGCTAAAGGATTTTAATAAATAATTTAACTGCAATTCCCCTCCCCCTTTACATTGCAATTTAGATTTAATACATGATGCTTTTTTTTCCCATGTACTTTTATAACAAACACAAGCAATAAATGAATTTGTATCACAATAAACCACACAAGATTTATTACGCATACATGTTTGTATCTTATAGGTTAGGCGTAACCTAAAATAAAGTTTCCCTCGAAGGGTCATTATGACTGTGAAACCGTATAAAGGTTTTATCGCCTCCTCGTATTTTACATATACAGGGCACAGTTAATGGATAACTAGTTTTGAAATCAAAAGTCAAGAATCGTAGTTTGTTCAACTGTTGTTTAGGTTACTCTGAAGTCATTAGAAAATGCTTGCAATATCTCAACAGTATTATTTATTACATATGGCGATTTGAAATTTTGGTACGGATTTTAGCAAGCATCATGGAAGTTGACGTGCTTGATTTGCTTTCATGGGCCACATAATATGATGTGGCGGGCAAGATCTGGCCCCTGGGCCATGAGTTTGACACCTTGCGCTAACCACTTAACCACTGGGCCGCCTACATATATACACACAGTATGTATTTTATTTTTTTTCATCAATGCTGGCAAGAACATTAACAGGGTATGATTTTTATTTTCGCTATTACCTTTGGAAAAATAGCTTAAGATATGAATGAATTAAGTACGAAATGAATCATGTCTTGGCAGCCAACCACAACTCTGCATTGAAAAGGAATTTCTGGGGTGATTTTAAGTGACAGTGGGACTAATGCTATTTTGTTTGAAGTACAAACAGTAATCTGATCACACTAATTCCAAACAGGAGTGACCATAATCTCCTCAACTGTAAATAGTAATCTTTGCATTGAATGTGTGAACGTAACCAGGTTAGACTACTTCAGTTTTATTTACGTGAAAAGCGCCTGTCTTTTTAACTGTTGTCAGTTCAGTTCTCGGGGGGCTCTGTCCACCAGGCTGCCGCTTTATCTGCGAGCCCCTGTCGGGGGCTGACTGACGCTCTCATTAATCACAGCAGTCGGGGGGCGGGAGGGGCGATGCGATTATTCATCTCATTGATTTCTGTGTAAAAGTAAATAAATAAAAATCACCTTTTGGAATGGGAGACACTCTCAATGGGATGGCATCGATTTTGCTTCAAGTCCATCTATTTGATTTGATTCACCTGCGATCAGGGACTCAACCATTCCTGTTTAGCTTTTGTGGATTCCCAAAGGGTTTGGAGCGCCAGGGCTTCATGCTTCTCTTTTGATAATCATGTGCGCAATACTTTGTTGCCATTTTTTTGAAGGACACTGACGATTGCAAAGAGGTAAACACGCTTTCAATTTTCGTCATACGTGGCAACAATACATTGACAATAACCTTGAAAGAAAGAATGCAATGTAGATGTGAAAGTTAGTCTGAGGCTCACATTCTTCCGCTGACATGTGGCGCTTCGATAGCAACACGTTGGTTTGAATGTGACACCTGAGGGGTGTGGGGGGGGGGGGG